GTTCCTTGCTCTTGATGTTGCTATTGCTCGGTATAGCTACATCTATCACAACGGCAGTCTACCTCTGTCTATCCACCACTAGTCTGTCTGGTTGGTTAGCCATCACCAGTTTGTCTGTCTGTAACTGGAATTCCCACAGGATCTTGGCTCGGTCACTGTCAACCACCCCAAGGGGCGTGTCCGATTTTGATCTAGGGACTCCAGGCCTTCTCAGCACAGATGTTTCTGTGTACTATGCTGGCCACTTGGTAATGGTGTTCCCTGTCTGTAAGCATCTTACCCCCTGCTGTTATGTGCTGGATTTTCTCAGGGACTCATGGATGCTTGTTGTCTCCTCCTGGACAGTGGTTCTGACACTCACCAGTCCTTGGCTTCCTGCTTAGCGTACAGTCTCAGGGTGCTGGACTTGCAGAGAAACCCTCCATGCATGGTCAGGTGCTTCATTGTCTTGATGTCAGTGGCTCCTCTCCTTTGGCCAGCTTATTATCCCTTATTATTTCTTTGGCTGCTAGTTGGATAGGACCGGTCCCTTCTGGGGATTCTTGGGGATCAGCACTGTTCGGCCTTCAGTTGACCATTCTGGGTGTCTCTCATTGACTACCAGCAGGTTGATTTGTGCTGCCAGACGCTCATAGAGAGCAGGCAGCTTCTTCTACCTGCAGTAGAAGAAGCTGCCTGCTTCTTCTACTGCAGGTAGAAGAAGCAGGTAGGTAGGCATGAATAATGTTGGTGCCTGGTGCTGTTCACCTTCTCATATTAGAGACTCTTTCTTGGATGTCGCACTCAACGCTCCTTCTGTCATTCTTGGGGCTTGGTACCTAATCTCGGATGGGTATCTGACCCGACATCTTGGTTCCCCCATCGCCCAACCATGGCCAGGGAGCCATCCGGCTGGACCTCCGCGCGCCTCGTCCCCCACCTCCGGCTGCCGAGGTGCCCCACACAGTTCCTCCACCGCTTCCCCACCACCAGGTTGGCGGCAGTGGTGTTGACCACGCCTGGAGCAGTGTCGCCAGCTCCGCGATTTGCCCCAGGTGGCGCCCAGCCTGGTCCCGTAGCTCTTCCTGTCTGTGGCGTGCCTCCGACGACTGTGGCCGCCATTTCAGTCAGCATCTGGGCCAGCTCCTCCCTTCCCTGGCTCCGGTAAGGACCAGGGAAGGGAGGACCACCACTTAATGTGGTAGAATTAAGGCACCGCGGGACCACAGATTGTACTTATGAGCTATTTATTTAGCTCACATCACAGCACACACCAACACCTGAGTCCCCGTGTTTTAACTCGGCGGACGTGATTAAGGATGCCGGCACCACAGACCACACCCCACGACAATGAATTGTTTGAAAAACTTTTTTTTTTTTTCATTTTTCCAAGTTGTCAGCCTTGTGCTTGTGGCAGGAATTTGATCAGATGTGAGGAAGTGCTAAATAAATTTCCAGGAGAGGCTAAGGAATTACCTCTAATATTATATACGCAAATAATTGTTTGAGCAAAAAAAAAAAAAGTAATTTACAACAGTGAACTACTGATGAAACAAATTAATATAGACTCTTGACAGATAAATGTAATTCTCTTGGTGTCATTGTTGCCATAATCAAAGGTACTTAACCTGTCATTCTGTGATCACAACCTCAGTTTTTTATCTGCTTGTTAACTGCCTGTTGTATGTTGTATCTCTGCAGTGGGATCTGGTGTGCGACAACAAACACCTGAATCAAGCTCTGGCTACTTATTTCTTTCTTGGGGTCACATTTGGAGCCATTCTGTTTGGACAGCTTTCTGACAAGTGAGTTCTTCAGTATTCATTGTTATTTTAAACCCTCAGGATCCTCTGGCCCTGTAATCCAAACTGCAGGTGAATTTATACAGTCTATGTCTGAGAAAGAAGTATCAACATGCTTTAAGAAAAGCAATGTGAATAACATACAAACAACAAGCAAAAATGTAGAATATATCCCAGTCGGTGGTTTCAAAGCGTATCATCAGAT